TTTACCTGGTCCTGATTCAGCTTTGGTAAGTCAAATCGATCAAGAAAATTGTCCATTTCATTTAGGTTTTCAAATTTTGTTGAGTATAGACTTTTGAAGTAAGTCCTAATGATTGTTTGGATTTCCTCAGTGTCTGTAGTTATGTCCCCCTTTTCATTTCTGATTTTGTTGATTTGGGTGGTGTCTCTCTGCCTTTTAGTTAGCTTGGCTAAGGGTTTGTCGATCTTGTTGATTTTCTCAAAGAAACAGCTCTTGGTTTCATTGATTCTTTGAATTGTTTTATTTGTTTCTAATTGATTGATTTCAGCCCTGAGTTTGATTATTTCCAGCTGTCTACTCCTTTTTGGTGTGTCTGCTTCTTCTTTTTCTAGGGTTTTTAAGTGGGCCATTAAGTTGCTTGAATGAGCTGTCTCGAATTTCTTCTTGATGGCACTTAGTGCTATGAACTTTCCTCTTAGCACTGCTTTCATTGTGTCCCACAAGTTTGGGTATGTTGTGTCTTCATTTTCATTGAATTCTAGGAAGACTTGAATTTCTTTCTTTATTTCTTCCCTGACCCAGCTGTCATTTAGTAACAAGTTGTTCAGTTTCCATGTGTGTGTAGGCTTTTTGCTATTTCTGTTGTTGTTGAAATCCAGCTTTATTCCATGGTGATCAGACAAGATACAAGGGATTATTTCAATCTTCTTGTATCTGTTGAGGCTTGCTTTGTGACCAACTATATGGTCTATTTTGGAGAAGGTTCCATGAGGTGTTGAGAAGAACGTAAATTCTTTTGTGTTGGGTGTAAAGTTCTGTAAATGTCTGTGAGGTCCATTTGATTCATGACCTCTGTCAGAGATATTCTTTGTTTAATTTCTGTTTAGTTGACCTGTCCTTTGTTGAGAGTGGGGTGTTGAAGTCTCCCACTATTAATGTGTGGGGATCCATATGTGGTTTAAATTTTATCAATGTTTCTTTTACAAATGTGGGTGCTCTTGTATTTGGGGCATAGATGTTCAGGATTGTGATGTCTTCCTGGTGGAATTTTCCCTTGATGAGTATGAAGTGTCCTTCCTCATCTCTTTTTATTAATTTTGGTTGAAAGTCTATTTTATCAAACATTAGAATGGCTACTCCTGCTTGTTTCTTGGGTCCATTTGCTTGGATAGTCGTCTTCCAACCTTTTACCCTCAGGTAATGTCTATCTTTGTGTCTTAGGTGTGTTTCTTGTATGCAACAGTTTGCTGGGTTTTGTTTACGTATCCATTCTGTTAATCTGTGTCTTTTTACTGGAGAGTTGAGTCCATTGATGTTGAGAGAGATTAATGACCAGTGGCTGTTAGATCCTTTGATATTGATGTTGGCTGTGTTCATAAGGTTGTGTGCTTGGTTGCTTTTTGTTTTGCTGTAGTAAGGTTAATTATTTCTTGTGTTTTCTTGACAGAAGCTAATTTTCTTGGGTTGTATTTTCCCTTCCAGTATCTTCTGTAATGCTGGATTTGTGTGTAGGTATTGTTGAAATTTGTTTTTGTCATTGAATATCTTGTTTTCTCCGTCTATGAGGACTGAGAGTTTTGCAGGGTATAGTAGCCTGGGTTGACATCTGTGTTCTCTTAGGGTCTGCATGATATCTGTCCAGGCCCTTCTGGCTTTCATAGTTTCTGTTGAAAAGTCAGGTGTGATTCTAATGGGTTTGCCGTTATATGTTACTTGGCCTTTTTCCCTTGCAGCTTTTAGTATTTTTTCTTTGTTCTGTATCCTTACTGTTTTGATTTTTATGTGGCGGGAGGATTTTCTTTTCTGGTCAAATTTGTTGGGTGTTCTGTAGGCCTCATGTATCCTTATTGGCTTCTCCTTTAACTTGGGGAAATTTTCTTCAATGATTTTATTGAAAATATTTTCTGGGCCTTGGAGAAGGGAGTCTTCTTTTTCCTCTATTCCTATTATTCTTAGATTTTGTCTTTTCATATTGTCTTGGATTTCTTGGACGGTCTGTGTCAGGAATTTTTTGGATTTAACATTTTCTTTGACAGATACGTCGATTTCTTCCATTGTATCTTCTACACCTGAGATTCTTTCTTCCATTTCTTGTATTCTGTTGGTTATGCTTACCTCTGTAGTTCCTGTTTTCTTCCCTAAATTCTTCCTCTCCATTATTTCCTCCATTTGTGTTTTCTTTAATTTTTCTAGTTCTGTCTTCAGGTCTTGAGTTGTTTTGTTTACTTCCTTCACCTGTCTGCTTGTATTTTCCTCTTTTCTTTTAGTTCCTTCAACTCTGTCTCTTTTATTTCTTTCAGTGACTTAATTATTTCTTCTCTGAAGGCCACAAGCTGTTTGGCTGCATCTTCCCGTATTTCTTCACGGATGGCCCTAATCTGCTTGTGTTTATCTTTCTCCATTTCTTTACGGATAGCCATGATCTGTTTGGTTTTATCTTCCTCTAATTCTTTATGTATTTTATTTGTTTCCTCTATTATCCTCTTCATCAGCATAGATGTAAGGTCATCTTCTTGATTTTCTATTATGCTGCATTGTTCAGGGCTGTTCGCCTCTGGATGGCTGGGTTCTGGAGATGCCATATTGCTCTGTCTTTTGTTGGTTCAGCCTTTAGGCTGACCTCTACCCATTGGGCTGATTTAGGTGTTGGCTGTTAGTTTCTGTGCTTCCTGGAGTCCTGAGGTAGGGAGTATCCCCTTGGCCGGAAGATGATTTTTCCTGAAGGAGTCCTTCTCTACTTTTTGGTTATGGTCACTGTATGGCCAGTGTTTCTCAGGAGTTGCCACTGCTCACCTCAGGTTTATAGCCCTGAGTAGTAGCTGTGGTCTATGTTAGGCAGGGGGGGATCTCCTCTTACCCATAGAATTTCTCAAGACAGCTGCCCCACTGCTGGGTTTCTTGTTATAAATTTAGTGTGCTGCTGCTCACTAAATTTCCATGTACAGTCCTCTTGAAGAAACTGCTGATTCCTTAGCTGTGGGGTTTTCTCCCAACAGGGAAACTCAGTCTGTTATCCTTGGGGCACAGTTCTGTCTGGGAAAGTGGGAGGTGCACTCAGCAAGTCTCTGGGCCAGAGGCTGAATGCTCCGCTCTGGACCTGGAGAATGTACACCTAGGTTGAGTTGGCACCTGGGGGTGCTGCTCTGGTCTGGAGGCTGGGTGCCTCACTCTGGACCAGAAGCTGTGTGTCCCTGTCTTGGATGGTGGCTGCAGGCACTGCTCTGGTCCAGACACTGTGGGTGTAGCCCTCTTGAAGGACCAGGGATTCCCACAGTTTTGACAGTCTAGCTAGGGATAACTGGTTGATCCTTGGCACAGTATCTGAGGGCTGCTGTAATGGCTCTCTGGCTTTTGTAGGTCTGAGGATGCAGCTGTGTGTCCCAGTGCCCTAGGGGAACTCAATAATGGTGGCAGAGCACAGCGCTCCTGCCTGCACTAGAGTCTGCATGAGTCCAGGAAGTGTTTTGGTGCTAGGTGTCCTAAGCGTTAGAGCTGCTGACCCCCTCCGCTGGGGGTTTCCTCCTGCCAGAGACACGCAGTCTGGTGCCCTGGTGCCCTGGTGCCCACAGTTCTGAGGCGGCGAATCAGGCGCGCAGGCAGGCGCCTGTGTCCTGGCTCTGGGTCCGGACTGGCTCTTGGGGCACCCGTGGAACCCGAGTCTTTTCCAGGGGATGTCTGGGTAACCTGAGGTTGTTCCCAATTGTTTCCTGCTCCATGGGGTTATCTCTCGACTGGGAAATCCAGTCTATGGTGTTGTGGGCCCACAGTTCAGTCTGGGACCATGACCAGATTGCGCTGGCGGGTAGCTCTGGGCTGGCGACCAAGCGCCTGGCGGAACCGGGATCTCTTCCGTGGTTTAGCCGGGTGAGTTAAAGCTGATTGAATCCCCCACCGTGGGGTATCCTCTCACCTGAGAAACACAACCACTTGTGTTTTATGGCCGCGAGTTCTGATTGTTGGTCATTGTGCCAATCCTGCTGTGCTGCTCCTCAGAATGAGAGTCCTCCCGGCGCCGCCATCTTGCCCTGCCTCCCTAACCTGGTTATTATTATGCCACTACATCAACACTAGTTATCTTAGCAGTTTTAGAAGCCAGTACTGTCATATAGTTGTTGACCAAATTGCCTTGATGTGGTGACCTTGCCTGTCTCTGTCATCTTCACTCAGCTGTAGAAACTTAGCTCAGATAAGGGTCACCTCCTCACCTCCCATATCCTCCCTTGCTCTCATGTTCCAGCTTTCGTGGGGAAATATGAAATACTGACTTCTGACAGTAGTGTTACATAAACTGATGAGAAACTAAAAGTTACATGACAGGGATGATAGAATAAGAGAATGCTGTCACCATTCCTAGAAACACTGAACTTAAGATTGTGTGATGCCATAGTTCTTAAGAAAATGAAATGTATTGTTATAATATTTAATTTAATGTTGAAATAGGGAGAAAATTATGGCAAATAGCAGTTTAGTGGGGAATATTTATAATTCCAGCATTTGAGATCCCAAGGCAACACAAGATTGGCCTGAGCTACACACTGACTGTCAGGTCAGCCTATACTACAGAGCAAAAACTATGCCCCCCCCTAAAATTTATCATGGCCCGTGGTAGCTCAGTAACCAAGTAGTTTCCCAAAGTAAGGGGAGCAAGGACTCTTTCTAACAGGATCTCAAGGGCAGGCTCTTTGACCTCCCCACCCCCCCAGGGGAAGAGCAGTACTGTTAGGCCACAGAGGAGGACTTTGCAGCCAGCCCTGAAGATACCTGATAAAACAGGGTCAAATGAAAGGGGAAGAGGTCCTCCCCTATCAGTGGACTTGGAAAGGGGCAGGGAGGAGACCAGGGGGGGAGTGTGGGGTTGGGGAGGGAATGAGGGAGCGGGATACAGGTGGGACACAGAGTTAACAAAATGTAACTAATAAGAAAAATAAAATTTAAAAAAAGAATTTATCATGGCAAAGCATTTACAGTGTATATATGTTTAACTCATAGAAAATAGCTATAGAATGTAATTTCTACACTTCTCAATGAGCATGTAAGACAGGAACACAGACATCTCTGCTGATCAGAACATAGGGACTGAAACTGGCATAACCAAGTTCTAAAAATGTTTTAATATTTAGTAAAACAGAATCGTGTGCCACTGTGAAACCTGTGTAGAAGGAGAGAATAAAATCTGCCCAATAGAAAAAAAGGAAGCAGGTCATGAGAACAAGAACACTCCATGTAGCTCTGATTTCTGGAGAAAGATTGTTTGCAAGCCTGGAGCGGTAAAGGTAGAGGACATGTTTGTGATGTTTATACAGATGGAGAGCCATGGAACCACTGCTCCAGCCCATCAGACTCTGAAAGATGGCATCACGAAGAGTCATGAGAGAGAGGAAAAGCCACTTAACTATGTTCCTGGAGGGCAGCATATAGCAATGCCCAATGAACATTTCAGCTTCAGACGTGTTCAAGCCGTTGCCTGATTTGATGTAGCAGAGCAAGTTGGAGCTTATGAGTAAATTAATAATCCAGAAGAGGAGGATACAGGGAAGAACTTGCCATGTTGTCCGTGGTTTGATCTTTGTCCAAATGGTGGTCCTGGGACTGATGGTGACAGCCTGGACCACACTGAGGAGACAGGTGGTGCAGATGGAGAGGCCCCGTGCCATCCTTGCCAGATAAACCACAGCTTTACAGCCAATATCTCCTAGGAAGTCTCTGAAATAAAACACTGTGGCTATATCTCTGACCCCTGTGCTACAAATAATGATCATATTAGAAAATGACAAATGGATGAGAATAAGGTCTACAGGCTTTTTCTCAGTCCCCAAGGCAGACGTGTACACATGTCTCACAAACACTAGAATATTTCCTACAATTCCAGGCCCAGAAAGAGAAACAAAGACTGTTGCCTGGGTAATGTTATTCCACTTCATCTTCTGACTTGATACACAGCACTAGGAAAAATCATCTGAGAAACACACATAATACTTTTTTCTGCTTATATGTATAA